TGACAAAAGTTGTTTAAGACCTGTATACTAAAACTATGAAACATTTCTGAGAGAAATTAAAGAAGATTTAAATAAATGGAGGGATATGTTCATAGGTTAGAAGACTTGATATTATCAAGATATCAATTCTTCCCAAACTGATTTGTAAATTGAATAAAATCCCAATCAAAATTTCAGCAGGAATTTTTATAGAAGTTGGATTGATTCCAAAATTCATGTGGAAATGGAAAGAACCTAGAATAGGCTGAACAACTTTGGAAAAAGAACAAAGTTATAGGACTAAATCTAACTGATTTCAAGACTAATTATTATAAGTTTCTTATAATGAAGACAGTGTAGTATTAGTGTCAAGGTCAATAAATAGATTAATGAAATAAAATAAAAAATTCAGAAATAGACTCCACACATATAGACTACTGATTTTTGACAAAAGTACATGGCAATATAGTGAAGAAGGGACAATTGTTTCTATCTGAAACAACCGGATATCCATACAAAAATTAAAAAAAAAAAACAACTCAATCCATACCTCATACCATATACAAAAATTAACTGCAAGTGAATGTAAAATAAACTTATAAAACCTCTAGCAGAAAATATAACATAGGGGAAAACCTTTGTGACTTTGAGTTAGGTAAGATTTCTTAGATACACAACATCAAAAGCACAACACACAAAAAGGAACAAGTTGATAAATAAGACGTCATCAAAATTTAAAACTTTTTCCTATTGAGAAATACTGTCGGCTGCGCGGTGGCTCACGCTTGTAATCCTAGCACTCTGGGAGGCCGAGGCAGGATGATCCCTCAAGGTCAGGAGTTCAAGACCAGCCTGTGCAAGAGTGAGACCCCATCTCTACTAAAAATAGAAAGAAATTAGCTGGATAACTAAAAATATATAGAAAAAATTAGCTGGGCATGGTGGCACATACCTGTAGTCCCAGCTACTCGGGAGGCTGAGGCAGAAGGATTGCTAGAACCCAGGAGTTTAAGGTTGCTGTGAGCTAGCCTGATGCCATGGCACTCTAGCCCAGGCAACAGAGCAAAACTCTGTCTCAAAAATAAAATAAAATAAAATAAAATAAAATAAAATAAAATAAAATAAAATAAAATAAAATAAATAAAAAGAAAAATACTGTCAAGAATATGAAAAGACAAACCACAGACTGGAAGTAAGTAATTGCAAATCATATATTTGACAAAGGACTTGTTTCCAGAGGATGTTTTTTTAAAATTCTCAAAGTACAATAATACAAAATAAATAAACTAATAAAAAAATGGGCAAAAGACTTGAACAGACACTATCCAAAAGATGTCATACAACATGAAACGACACTCAACCTCATTAGCAATTAGGGAAATGCAAGTTAAAATCACAACCAGATACAACTATATGTCTATTAGAATGACCAAAACCAAAAAGATTAAGCATTGCAAATGTTGGTGAGGATGTGAAAGAAATGTGGTACATTTATTCTATGATTCCACGAAATACTCAGCAACAAAAAGAAATAAACTATTGACACATGCAACAACACAGATTTCAAACTAAATATGCTGGGTAAAAGAAGGCAGATTCCACCCCCCGCAAAAGAATAAATACTGTATGATTTCATTTATCTAAAATTCCATAAAATACGAACTAATCTATAGGGACAAACATCATATCAGTGTTGGCCTGTGGTCAGTAGAGTAGCACAGGGTAGGAGGGAGAGGAGCATAGAAACAGAAGCTTGGGGGAGTGATGGATATGGTTGCTATTTTGATTATGGTGATATTTTTACGGGTGCAAACATAAGTCAAAACTTTTCAAAAGGTATACTTTAAATATATGTAGTTTATTGTATGTCAATTCTACCTCATTTAAAAAAAACCTTAGTGCAGCTTTCAAGAATAGAAAAATAATAATAAGGAAGTAATAACTAATATCTACGGAGAGTTAGAAGGTGCCTCCACTGTGCTAAGCATCTGTCTATGTGTCAATCTATCCTTATTTTACCCTCATAACAACCTTATGAAGTAGATAAAATAGATACTCTTCTCATCCCATTTTCACTGACGAGGACTCTGGTGCTACATAACTTTCCCAATGCCACATAGCCCATAACAGTGGAGCCAGGGTCTGAGCCCCGGGAGCTCGCTCAGAGTTCAGGCTCTACACCACTGTAGGTGTCAATTAATTTTTGTGTCTTCTTGTTGTCATTTGCAGGAAAAAATCACAGGAGAAGCTGCATTTGAGGAACCTTTACCAGCTGCCCAAAATGGAACTATTATTGAAACGGAGGTAGGGCTTGAGCGGGGCCTTTGCACACCTGCTGGCCACCCCATAAGCTTCACTCCTTTCCACCTCCGAGTCTTCATGTGCCATTTCCTCCTCCAGGCCCCTCTGTCTCTCTCTACCAGTTCACAGCTACCTCCTTCATAGGACCCACCCCACAAAGCCTCACCTGACTAACTCTGACCCCACTGTGATTATTCCTTTATTCTGAACCCTCTATACAGCTTAGACTGTAGGTTACATTTTCTACATAAATTATTTGCAACAATTTCAGTAAGTACAGTTTTTCTCTCCTCCCCATTGCACAAACAGAAAAAATTTTGGAGACGAAAAATGTGTAAGAATTTTCTCCATATCATACACACATGCATATGCTCATCTCCATACCTATATGTATCATATATCATTCACATGCATCTCAAGTTCCAGTAACTGATCCCTCCTGTGATGGCTTCAGGCCAAGGGGTGGTGGCATCTTCCACCAGTAGCCACCCCTGGACACTTCACCTTCCTTTGTTGGTTTCCCTTCACCCCACCCACACTTCTGCAGGTGGGCCTTTGTTAAACCAGATTTGTCCACTCCATTGGAGTGTCCCTTCCATTTCCTGCCAGGCACATGAGGATTCAGGAAGAGATTGGCAGGGCTGTGCAGACCCTGCTCAGGATTTTGGACTTTGCCTAAGGAGCAGAGGAAGGCATTGTAGGCTTTTGAGTGGGAGATTGGCATGATCAAACATTTTCCTTCCCCAGTGATGAGCACAGTGCTGGACTTTCTGGAGACTCCCAGGAGCCTCTTGTTGCTAGGCTGACTGACCCAGCAAGAATCAGCCTGGGAAGCCCAGGGAGCCCCTGAGGAGGGAACAGGGCATGGGGTTAGTCATATCCATGGAGGCCCTGAGCCAGATTCACTGAACACTAATGCCAGATATTGGAGTTCTGCTAGAGAGCCAAATTCTCCAACCCCTTTCCTCTCCAGATTCTGACCAATGAGGGAGTCTACCCAGAAGTCAGCAAGTGATAAAAGTACCACTTTCTCATGGCTGACACTGAACTAGAGAATAAAGCTTGGACCTGGGACACAAATGGGCTTCCCATTTCTCCCTACTAAATTAAATGTCTACACCTCCTTGTAGGCAGGTCTCACCCTTAGGGAAGGGTCTTCCCCTCTCCCAAGCTGACTGCATGGAGGGGAGAAGAAAGTGTACAGTCTGGGATGTGCTGCCAGAAAGAGATAGTGCTCTGTAGGTGCAGGGCAGGGCCTGTTCTTTGCAGCTCACTTTAGTAGATGCTGTTGGAACCCCACCCATGTTCCTTTAGCACTTATCCCTCCCAAGCACCCTGAAGATGAGGACAGCAAGTCTTTTTCCAATGCTTTGTTGTAGCAGGTCAGGCTCTTTGGGGGAGCAGCCATCAGCCAAGGAGTGAATCAGTACTCCAGCTCCTTCACCTCTTAGGGGGGACAGCTCTGCTGTGTATCCCCCTTTCTCCCAGAGATCTCAGTGGGATTGAGTTCACTGTGGTAACCCATACTTTAAAGTACCCTGCGTTGGTGTCCTTCCCTCCCTTGCCTTTCTTCCGCACTCCCATCACGAAATTTCCTGGCTTTGTTCCCCAAGTCAACTAATGACTCTCAAACCCTTAGGTCAGGGTTTGCTTCTGGGGGAACCCACACTAGGAGACTCACCAGCCCATAGGTCACCCCTTGTGCCCTGGGGAGGAGAGAGCGGAGATGAAGCAGAGAGTAGCAGTTTTCTCTCTGATATTCCTAAGAGGGGGGCCATTCCTTTATGAACCCTAACAAGGATATGGAGGGAGGGACATGATGCCCCCTGCCCCACATCAAACACATAGGAACCCCAGAGGACATCTGGTTCAACAAGGTGGATCGATCTCTCATTTTTATCTCCTATCCCTTCTGGAAAAAAAAAAACAAAACACATGAAATGACAGTAAAGGAATAAAAAGGGCACAAATCCACAAAGACAAGACGAAGAGGAGATATTGGAAGAGAAGCACTTTAAAAATATTGAGAATAAAAAAATCAATAGAGGAGTTTACACTGGCTTAGCACAGCTGAGGAAGGTGAAACCCAAGCATCTTTATGGGAGGAGAGACTGGTGGAAAGTGTATGACTCGGCAAGGCGAGGACTGGAAGTTCTGCAGAAGGCGGAGTGGGGACAGGGGCTGACAGGAGGGGTGTGTTTGCTGGTCTGATGCGGAGCGACTGGAACACTAGAGTCCCTGCAGCCTCCACTTAGCTCATCAACCATACCCCAGGTGAAATGTGAAGTGACCAGATGACTATTCTCTGGAGAAATCAAACAGAGACAGCTCCAAATTTAGATTTAGCCTGCACTATGTGAGGCCGTGTAATGGTGCAGGACAGAGAATAACAAGTAAGTAGAATTCTCCATATCAAATGAGGCCCTTCCTCCAGCCACTGTCTCTGAACACCAGAAGCCAAGTCTTTGTATTAGTTTTCTACCGCTGCTGTAACATTACCACAACGTTGGTGGTTTAAAACAATGTAAATTTATTACTGTATAGTTCTGGAGGTCAGAAGTCCAAAATGGGTTTCAGTATGCTAAGATTCACGTGTGAATTGGAACGTATGTCTTCCAGAGGATCTAGGGGAGAGCCTGTTCCCTTGCATTTTCTTCTAGAAGCCACTTACATGCCTTGGCTTGTGGCCCCTTCCTCCCTCTTCAGCACCAGCAGTGCACCAGCATCCTCTCTCTGACAGCTTCCCTCTCGTAAGGACCCTTATGAATACGTTGGGACCGCCTGGATAATACAGGGTAATCTCATATCAAAATCCACAATGCAATGACATCAGCAAAGTCCTTTTGCCCTGTAAGATGATATATTTTTATAGGTTCTGGGGCTTAGGACATGCACATCGTTGGAGGCCATTGTCCTGTCTATCACAGTTCCTCATGCAGGAGATTCGGAGAACTTAATTCCCCAAAAAACTGGCAGGCCCAAAAAGAGGCCTTCAGATAATGTCACCAGAGGTGGCCGCCCAGTAAAAATGCCAGGTTTCTGCCTGATCACCCCATGAAGTGCCCCAGTTAGCCAGTGGCTATGGAGTTTTGCTTCCCAAACACGGTTTTTTTAGGAAGCCAGAAATGTGCTCTAGTGATATAAGGGCCTAAACAACGAAGAAAAAAGACAAGGAAAAGACCTGGAACTTAAGAAACAGGAGCTGCAAAACAAGAAAGCAAGTGGTAAGACAGGCTGGTAAGAGCTACAAGTCCGGATTAGAGGAGGGGGAGAAAAAAATGAGGTTCATATATTATCTCAAATGCCTGATTTTTTGGAAAATAATATTGACCAACACTTGGCAAATCTGATAAAGCATGTGGAAAAAATTAGGAGACCAAGTGAATAAAAACAAAGTACACAAATGAAAACAAAGTATATGACACTACTCTGCTCAACAGCAGCAATACTTACGTATTTATAATAGTGTACACACTTACCGATTTAGCCCTGAGCAGTGATGTAATTATCCCAGGGGGGATAAGATGTGGGAAGAGGGGTAGTATAAGAAGGCTAAATCTATCCACCCCACCAATACCCAGTGGGAAATTTCAAAAATTGACGAATTAAGAAATAGCAGCATAAGCATGTTGTTCAGAAATATAGAGATAAATAAATACCCAAAGAAATGAAAAAGTTGAAAGTGCTAGCCAACGGGAAGGAGACTCGGGGAGGCAGGGGACTGCTGCTTTTCTTTATAAATTTTAGTGCTATGTTGCTTTAAATGTTACCATATGACTGTATTACTTTGATTTAAAGGAATTCCAAGAAGAATCTCAGAATGAATCATTTTCTCCTGAGTCACGACACCTTCTCAGATGCCTGTCTGTGGAACTGAGCAGTCTCAGCACTGACTGTCCAGAGGGCTGTGGTCATTGGGCCTTCCTGGGCTCCACATCGCCTCCGCAGTTACTCCCAGAACTGCCTGACCCGTCCCAAGATCTAAAAATTCTTTTATCACAAGTTCAAAATGAAAACAACTTTTGGGACAGAGGTATTCTGCTCCTGGACTTAATGTATTTATAATACTACCATGCTCTAATCTCTGCCCAGGCATGTGGTTAAAATACGGACCCTATATCAGAGGCCAACTGAAACCATTTGTTTCTGACCTTCATGTGAGAACTTGTCTTAATCATTTTATAAATTTTGAATATCTCATTAAGAACATCTCAAAAACAGGCCCAGCTCAGGATGAATTGTTTCAGGTGAGACAGTCACACCTGTCCTAGGAACAGTGTAATGCGGAGATGATGCAATCACCAGCCCACTAACTTGCAGGAAGTGGATAGGATTCCCATCGGCTTCTCTCTCCTTGCTCTAGGACGTAGAAAAACACAATCATGTTTCCCCTGTGCTGGATCACCACGTCAGCAGTGGGACCTCAGTGTCGATCTCACTGCCGGAAGAGCACAGCCACTTCCGCCCCATCTACAAGGGAGCCTCAGCCGCTTTCTGTATCCAGCTGTTTTGTATTGAAGAGAAATATGAAGCAAGGCAAGTACTGACCTCCAGGTGTCTATTATGGTAAGAATTTCCCATGGCATTGGTGGCCCAACATCTTAATCTTGCAGAGCCAGTGGTTTCCAAACCTGGCCCCACATCCTAATCTTCTGGGGAATTTTGTTTGAAACACAGATTCCTGGGCTCCATCCAGAGATTCTAGTCCATAAAAATTAGGTAAGGCCCACAGAAGTATGCAAGAAAGATGCCCAGGTCTGGCTCACCTACATAGCAGTTGGGGATCTGGAATATCATCACTTATGTACACACACTGCTCTCGTTCTCTAAAGTTTGCATTTCTGGGAGAATGGATTGATGCTTGTTTGGAGTCTTTTGGTTGCGAGTAACAGAAAATCCAACCAAATTAACTTCGGAAAAAATGTAATAATTGCCTCACATAACTAAGAATAAGTCCAGTGGTAGGACTGTTTTAAATATGGCGTGATGTAGGACTTAGATAACCAAATCAAGGACCAAGTTTCCCTCTCTACCCCTTCACCCTGGCTCCCTGATTTTGGCCCCATTCTCAGAGGAGTGTTCCCATTGTGGGGCCAAGACGACTGACAGTCTCAGATCTGTGTGAAAATCCAGTGAGGAGGACGTCCTGGTTTGGGCCCAGCTTTCTGGCAAAAGTCCCGTGAGGCCTGACTGAACTGTGTTTGTTCCTGAGCCAGTGGCTGTGACCAGCCCCTGCCACAAAGAGATGGGCTCCATCCCTTGCCTCACGCTCCACCCCAAATCTGCAGCTGGAGCATCACCCAAAATGTAAGATCTGAGAGGGTGGTAAGTGGAACACCCACCAACAATCCCGGGCAACAACAAGGAGGAGGCGTGGTGCCCGGCAGACAAAGCCCTGGTGTCCTCCAGGCCACTCAGTCTCCCCACTTCCTCCAGAACACACACGCGCAACGCTTGCTGTCTCTGCAGTGTGGATGTGGATTGCTGCCCCCAGGGCCGAGATTCCACATCTCTTTAGCACACCCACCTACTCCATCATTTGTCCACAGAACCATCTCAAAGAGGAGAGGATTGGCCCATTTTAGAGGATGTGTTTAAATACATTCCCAATCTCCCAGCTCCCCTACAACCATGTGTTACTTTTACTTTTTTCATCTTAAGTTTTCGGTTTCTATGGCAATCTTTGGGATTGAAAAGGGAAATCTTTTTATTCTAATTATATCGTACACATCTAAAAACCTGTAAAGCCCTTCTCTATTTGTTGTTTTGTATTTATTTTCCCTGTGCATGTAGATGTGATTGTGCTTCGAATGGAATTTTTGAATTTTCAAACAGAAATTCAGTAACCCATTGTGGTTTGCCTGTGACTATATATCAGCAGCAGGTCAGAAAATCTTTCATATATAAAAGAGGAAAAGATCAGAGTAGCCTGTGGTATCTCCCACATCTCCCCTCAACTTTTCCAGAAAGGAAGGGAAGAATCTTGTGCACAAAATGACCATCTTTTGTTTTGGCTTTCAAACGCGCAGAGATGATTAATTGCTATGATAGTGCCTTCAGTTCTACAAAAAACTTTATTACTGACATATGAAGCTTATGACTTATGCAACCAATTATTGTTCAGCTAGACACAAATTCTGACTAGTGGTTGGCTAATCGCTGCCCGAGGGGAAAGAGCCATAAATCTCTGTAAATATCCAACGATGATGCATTTGCTTGGAGGACAGTGACAGTGCTTACTATCTGTTTACAGGTCGCTGGATTTTATGGATTTTGTTTTCAGTCTCTTTCCTGTAAGTACATGCTGAATTTTGAGTAACTGTTTTTGTAAGCTCGAGAGTTGTAGAAAAATGAAATGCCATATTCATCATCCAAACATTTAAAATGCTGTGAATGTTGAGGTTTGAACTGCTTCTGTGTTCTGAGAATAAGGTCAATTGGCATGTCGTGAATTCTTAAAAATGGAAAATATTGTCATTTTCAATCTTTCTTCAGTCACGCTATTTTAGCAGTTTTTTAAAATGCATGATTTCATTTAGACATAGCTTTACCAGTGTTTTATTAGAATCAAATCATTCACAGTAGTATATGAAAATGTCAGAATTACACTAAAGTGGATGAGACTGTTATATTACTTTGTAGTTTACATTGGCTCGAAGTATTCTGAAATCATCATATTGCTTTTCTGGCGATAGGAAGGTAGGAACTGTGGTTAATTTTCAGGTTGGCATTTCTTTGCCTATTAGTTCCTCAGGACTGAGCCCATGCCTGGCTGGTAGGATGGGCTCAACCCACGTTAGTGAATGGGCCTGATGGCCAACATGCAGGTGCAAACAAGATGGTCCATTTCAAGGTGTCTCCGGCCTCTTCCTCCATTCTTGTTTCATTGTCTAGGGATGGAGATCTAACCAACCTCTTATCGCTTTATTGAAGGGAAGAAAGTGGGGAAAAAAGACAACTGAGGGACAAAATGGGTTTTTTAAAAGACTATTTTCATGACTGGCCTGTTAGTTGAGTCAACTGTACGTCTTCAGTTGGCTAATTTCAAGCAAAATATCCATTGCTTTATTTTTCCTTAATACTCTTTCTAATGAGATTAAAAACAAATATGGCTTAATTGTCTTGCCTAACCACCATGTGATCTTAGGTTTTATTTCCTCATTTTTTAAAATACAATGAAGCTTTGCAATAAGGCAATATGCTCTCCATTGTAATTTTTAAGGCATTTTCAAAGCTCATAAAACAATGTAGATTACCCTGAACATAGGATTTACAAAGCTGATTTTCCTCAAAGATTCCCCAAAGAAATTTCACTAAGTTTAACTCTTTCCTATTATAAAATGCATGGAAAGGCATATCTTTAGCATTATAAAAATAATGCTGGCTTTAAAAAGGTAAAAGACCTGTTTACAGTTCAATCCTATTTGATTTTGGGATATGGGGAACAAAATACCTTGATTACTTCTTCCTTAATCCTTCAAATTCAAGTGGAAGCAACTCATTGTAGTTAGTCTTCCCCTCCCAGAGGAAGCCCACCCAGACTTGGCACCCAATCCTTATTTTTAGCTTGAGTATTTCAGTAACTTGACTCTAAAGTTCCCCAAAAGGAGCCCTGTTATTTTGCTAGAAAGAAGGAAGATAAGATCAAACAATGATTCACTCCTTTGGGTTGCACAAATGTCCCCAGGGTTTGGGATTAGCACAGATAATGCCTTCACAGGGTTCAGGGGGAGGCGAGATCCCAAAGGGACAAATTAGCCCTGGGAAGAACAGGCTGCTTCTGCAGGGACCTGGCAGAGGACCAAGCGGCTGCATGGAGCACAGACAGCCTAGAGCAGCACCATCCATAGACTTGGAGCGTGAGCCACATCAACAATTCTAAATGTTCCGGCAGCCACATGGAAAAAAAGGAAAAAGGAACAGATGAAATCCATGTTGTAATATATCTTATTTAACTTAATATATCCCAAACATAATCATTTCAACATGAAAAATTATTAGTGAGCTATTTGCGTTGTTTTTCTCATACTAAGTCTTTGAAATCCGGTGTGTATTTTACATTTATAGCACATCCCAATACAAGTAGTAAATTTTCATCAGAAATACTTAATCTGTATTTAGATTTCCTAAAATTTATAGTTGGGTAAATAGAGTCATATACTCAAGTTAGATGTAGATTCACATAACATAAGCAGACATAAAACTTTTCTAATAATGAAATTGAGTATCAGTTTTTAAAGTTAAATGAAATTAAAAAATGTAGTCACTCAGTCACAATAGCCACGTTCCAAATCCTCGGTGGCCAGATGTGGCCACTGACTACTATATGGGACAAGGCAGGTCTAGAATAGAAGATGAGTGGCATCTATCAGGATACATGGATCCTCCTGCATCTGCTAACTAAACCTACTGCCTGGGTTTAAACATGCCCTTGGATCTGTTCACCCAAGTGCGACCACTTGGTGCAACATAAAATACATATCCATTTATGTATAATCACAGGATTTTATAGCCAGAAAAGGCCTGGAATACCACCATCTTGTCTCACAGAGGAAGGGACTATGGCTGGTATAAGGTCACTTAGTAAGCACAGGGACTTTGCTAGAACATTGTGCTGCCTCATTTACTTGGTGATACAAGTGAATTCATAAGTGCCAATGGTATTAGTTTAAAAATCTACTTCCACAAAAGAGCTATGCTGATGAGTGCCATTGTTCATAAGATTTATTTACTCAGGCTTCATTCACACTTACAGATATTTTCTCCATGTCCTTGTAGTTGCTCAGGTCCCTGAATTTTATGTGGTTACTTTCCAAATTATGGGAAAGTTTAATCTGAGTATATTTTCCTTAATCAATGCATTTTGCTTCTATTTTCCTTAGTGTTTTTTTTAAAGCAGGAGTTTGTTTATTGATAAATGATTTTTTATTCTTTCCCTATATCCTGGTTTCCAACGATGTTAGGGCAAGAACTTCTGCATAATTTCTGTGCCCCATCTCACCCCTGAGTTTGTCCTCATCCAGAACTTCGTCAAGATGGTCCCCTTCCCTGACTGCACCCTCAATCAGGAGCTCTACGTCTTCCATCGGGCTGGATTGCTCAAGTAAGTGGACACATGTTTGGTCAAAAGACAATTCATGAAATTAGAAAGGAACAAGGAGCTCTCTGCTATTTTAATTTAATAATTATTTTAAAGATTGTCCTTTATTAGTAGAGGGCTTGATCAAGTGATTGTAACTAACATTTAGGGAAAGAGTAGTACTGAGAAGAGATTTGTCCTGTCAGATATTAAAACACAAGATAGCTTCATAATAATCAAAACAATGCCGTGTTGACAGATTGTATAGATAGAACATTGTAACACAAGAAGGAGTCCCACCAGAGACCATGTGCAAATATGTGTGTGAGTGTCTATATATATTAATATATACATATATGACAAGGTATGTGTCACAACAGTGGGAACAGGAAGGATTATTCTGTAAATGGTGGGACCAAATTAAGATAAAAACTTTTTTTCATACTCTACAGTAAAGTAGATTCCCTGGTGATTGGAGAGTTAAATGTAAATATTAAAAACATAAAAAAATTAGAAAATATATTTATGCTGCTAGTTTCTGTGCCAATTTCTGGCAATTCAATGGTGAACAACATACAGATATGGTCCCTGCCTTTTCATGGCTTATAAACACACTCATAAATGCAAAATTGCAACTATGATGGGTGTAACCAGTGATGGGCATCTGGTACTGAGAGTATGTAACACTGGGAGATTCAGCCCAGTCAGAGGAAACTTTCCTGAGGAAGTAATATTGAATGCCATAGGAGGAATGTGAGTGAAAATTGATCTTTATCATGTCTGAAAATGGAGAAATTATTTACAAAATATGAAATTAAAAAATTAAGTTTTTTTTTGTACTATATAAAGTTTTTTTGAACCACCCTAATTTAATTAAAATGTAACTGATTAACAGAAGGACATTTTTAACAAATATAACAGACAAAAGGTTGGTAATTTAATATATAAAGAGCTTTAATAACTCAGTAAGAAAATCACTTAATACCCAAATAGAAAAACTAACAAAAGTCATGGCCAGACTGTTTACACATGAAGAAAAACAAAAAGTCAGTAGATGTTTAAAAATCTTCTACCTTATAACTAATCAGGGAAAAGACACCAAAGTAAGAATGAGATATTTTTGGTCAGTTGGCAAGAATTAAAATACAGAAATGTTGATTTCTAATGAGACACATGTAGGGCTGGTTAGAATGTAAATTGACATGAAATTTCAAAGGGCAATTTGGCTATAACTCTAAAGTTGTTCATACACTTTGACCCTTTAGTTCTACACCTAGAAATCTATCCTAAAAAACTAATCAGAGATAGAAACAAAAATTCATGGATGAGGATTAAAAAATATTGGCAACACTCTAAATGTCCAATGGTAAGAAAATGTTCAAAAACTTTATGGTACCTATATGAAGGAATCTGTATCTATGTTTACAATTCATTTAAAGAATATTTAATGATTGGAAAATGCTCAAAATGCAATGGTAGGCTAAAAAACATAACAGTATATAAAATGGTCTTTAAATATGACCTACATTTTTAGAGAAAGGAGAAAACCATGTGAACAAAATAGGCTAAAAGGAGACATGCAGATGTAGGGACACTGTGGCACACAACCCAGGTCCCTCTCCCTCAGGGCTTAAGGACTCATTTCCCAGCTGCTGGATGTGTGAGCATGAAAAGCGTGAAGCCAGGATCCAATAAAAGAGATTGCCCTGGACTGACGAGAAGGGCTTTACCCAAGGTCCTGCCCATCTCCAAGGGCAGCCTCCATCCAATAGGACTGATTAGTGTCTGTGTTGGAGACGGCAAGGGGGCGGGGTAAGGGGGCAGTGTAAAGGGCAAGCTCTGGTAGGGCAACTGTGAAGGATCTTCCCAGGGCCAGAACCCCTGTGGGGTCAGCTGGACATTTTTTGTGATTACATCACTTGCAACCCAACTTCTCCCTCTGCCCCGTGTGCTTCTCTCAGTCCCCGCAGTTGTAGAGAGTCCCAAGAGCTCACCCTAATAACCTCTGGCATGTAGATCCTGGCCTGCAACACTGAAGATGGCCAGTGCTTGCCTCTGGTGTTAGTAGAAACATCAGGGATGATTTTTAATTTTCTTCCTTATGTTGCCTAAATTATGGAATTTTTCTGCAGTAAGCCTTGAATATCAGGTAGGATTCTTTTGTTGGCAAGTGGTAGGAATCCATCAAACTGGCTTAAAGAACGAGATTTATTACTGTACACATGCGAAGAGGAAAATCTAAGGGCAATGCTGGTTTTATATGTAATTTAATTAGAAATCTAGCCCTCTTTGACCTCTGTCTTCCGTATTGACCACTTCTTAGACTGGCGCTTCCTCAGTGGGCCCAGGATGGTTGAAGTAGCTTTAGACCTTCCAAGTCCAACATGCCCCTCCCCAGCCCCATGTGTAGACTCTCCCGTCATTAGCATCCAGCACCAGAGTGGTGCATTTCCTATGATCAATGAACCTACATTGACACAGCATCAACCATAGTCTGTAGTTCACATTAAGGTTCACTCTTGGTGTTGCACATTCTGTAGATTTGGACAAATATATAATGACATGTGTCCACCATTATAATATCACAGAGAATAGTTTCACTGCCCTAAAAATCCTCTGTGCTCTGTCTATTCATCTGTCCCTCCTCACAGCCCCATCAACCATTAATCTTTTTACTGTCTCCACAATTTTACCTTTTCCAGGATGTTGTATAGTTGGAATTATATAGTATGTAGCTTTTTCAGATTGGCTTTTCTTCACTTAGTAATATACATTTAAGGTTCTTCCATGTCTTTTCATAGCTTGATAGCTCGTTTCTTTTTAGCACTGAATATTTCACTGTGTGGATGTACCACAGTTTGTTTATCCGTTCATTTACTGAAGGACATTGTAGTTACTTTCAAGTTTGAGCAATTATGAATAAAGGTGCTATAAACATTCATGTGCAGTTTTTTATGTGGACATAAGTTTTCAACTCATTTGAGTAACTACCGAAGAGTGCAATTGCTGGATCCTATAGTCAGAGTATGTTTAGTTTTATGAGAAACTGTCAAACTGTCTCACAATTGGCTGTACCATTTTGCATTCATACCACCAATGAATGAGAGTTCCTGTTGCCCCACACCCTTGCCAGCACTGGGTGTCGTCAGTGTTTTGGATTTTAGCCATTCTAACAGGTATGTCAGTGGTATCTCCTTGTTTTAATGACATACGGTGTTGAAAAATGTCTTCATATCCTTATTTATCATCTATATATCTTCTTTGGCGAGGTATCTGCTCAGGTCTTTTGTCTATTTTTTAATTAGATTGTTTATTTCTGGTTTTTTTTTTTTGTTTTTTTTTTTTTTTTTTTTTTTTTTTGAGATAGGCTTTTGCTCTGTTTCCCAGGCTAGAGTGCAGTGGTATCATCATAGCTCACCACAACCTCAAACTCCTAGGCTCAAGTGATCCTCCTGCCTCAGCCTCCCGAGTAGCTGGGAAAACAAGCATGCGCTATCACACTCAGCTAATTTTTCTATTTTTTGTAGCAACAAGGATCTTGCTCTTATTCAAGCTGGTCTTGCACTCCTGAGCTCAAGCAATCCTCCTGCCTCAGCCTCCCAGTGTGCTGGAGTTACTGGAGTGAACCACCTTGCCTGACCAATTTCTGTTTGACTTTTTAAAAATCATGGGCATACATTACTTTTTTTTCCCACTATTTTTCACTTTCACTCTTTTTAAAAGAGTCAGTTTTATTGAGGTTTAATGTACATAAAGTAAAATTTACCCTTTTTTTGTATACAGTTTTATTAATTTTGACAAATTCAGTGTATAATGGCCACCAGAAACTCTGTAATAGAAAATGTAGTTAATTTTATCTACAGTGAAATTTTAAATTTTATTATGATTCAAGTAGAAATTTTTTTAAATGTACTTTACCCTGTCTGCATTCTTAAGTAGAGTGCATGGGTGACATTTTTCCTGACTTGCCATTCTCCTTCTAAATAAATACAATTGAATGAACACATGCTGGAGAGGGAGAGCAATCAGATGACATGGACCTAGGAATGGGTCATCAGTCTGGCTGTAGTAGCAGCCTTGTTCTTCGTGGCTTAATTGCATAATTTATAGTCATATGCTTTTCTTTCACACTCTTTTACTATGAACATGTATTACTTTTATTAAAAATAAAATCTAAATTTTTTAAGTGATGAGACTTCTGGGAATTAGTCCTGGTTGCAGCAGGGCCCTACTTTTTCTTTGTAACTGTTTTCAGTGTCAGCTTTATTTATTTATTTTTTAATCTCTTGCATCTAAATTGGAAGCAAATCACATACACCTGGGTTCTTTTCTGAAAAATTAAAGACTCACGGGCTGAGATAGTTTTTCTGTCTTTCCTGTCACAAGTCTTGTTTTTCATCATAGTTGCCATCTGAGCCCTCATCAGGAGCCTTCCTCCACCACCTCGTAAGCTTGTCACCGGCCCACTCACCACACCACATCAGGTTCTCACCTTGTACATTTAAACTAAATTCTAAGCATAAAGAGCCTTTTGGTGAAATCGCACGTTTAATGTTAAAAATGATAGCTTTGTCTGTCAAGATGGCTCGATTCCTAGAATGAATACAATATTCTTCTTCCCTCTGCTCTTTTAAAGCCCAAACTCCTGCACCCGTCTTCAGACAGCTGATCTTGGCTGGAGGGAGAACGGAGGCCACCTAACCTGAAGGGGGTCTTTCACATCCCAGTGATATTTGTATTTTTGAAAAATGATTATGCTAACAAATGAATTTGGAGGAATTTCATATCATAAAAAATGAAGTTCAGAAGTGTGAGCATGGGAGTGACCTCAAAGAAGACCATCCATCACCTTGCTGGGCCTCTGGCATCAGTTACCCTGAGGTGGCCCTGCCTCCATAGGGCCTTCCCTTTCTGTCCCCATTTCCCACCCTCCCCCCAACAGTATTCCCTGAAAGTACCAAGATGTTTTCATAGTCCCTTCACTGGCACCTGCATCTCAGCCAGGAGTGCAGGAGAAGTCCAGG